CATCTTGCTCAGGCAAAGACCTCTCCTCCTGAGTGGCACCAGCATCAAAGGACCCAATAGCCCCGCCCCCAGGTGGGACTCCACCCTCCCCTGTGCTAAGCTGCCGGCTGAGTGCAGAGTGGCAGCCACAAACAGTAGATCCCTGGCTAAAGCGGGTGCAGAGAGGTCTGGAGACACTTGAGGCGAGACTGGGGACAGAGGCTTTGGGGAGAGAATGGAGAGAGTAGCCAGCGGGATCCCAGTGTGGACTCCTCTCCCTTACGGCAACGGCGTAAGAGGACCCAATAACCCCACCCACAGGAGGGACTCCGCCCCGCCCTGAGCTGTCTAAGGCATACTGCTGAGGGCTGAATGACTAGATTAACAGCTGAAGGAGACAGCCACAAACAGCAGACTACTGGTAGTCTCGAACAGACTGCCTAAGGTCAGACAGGGCTAATACCTGACATCATCAGAGGCAGATCCAGAAGGTAAAAACAGTGGTCTCCAACCATAGGAGTTCACACCACAAAGTTAGGAAATCAAGACAGATCAACTTAAGAAGCAGAAGCAAAAGAGAAGAGTCTCACAAATATGGGAAGACAAAGAAATACACCCCAATCAAAGGGAAAGGAGCAATCCCCAGAAAGAGAACTAAATGAAATGGAGGCAAGTAAACTATCAGATATTGAGTCCAAACAATGGTTCCTTATAAGGAAGCTCAATGAGCTCAGTGAGCTCAGAGAGAATGACAAAAATCTACTGGGAAACTGCAAGGAACTTCCTGCAAACTATATCAGCATGAAAAAGGACATAGAAACTATGAATAAGAGACAAGAGGAAATGAAGAATGCAATTTCTGTATTGAAGAACACAGTAGAAGGAATCAAAGGCAGGATAGATGAAGCCAAGGATCGAATCAGTGAGCTGGAGGACAAGGTAGAAAAAAACTCCCAGAAAGAGCAAGAAAATGAAAAAAGACTCAAAAAGAATGAAGAGGCATTTAGGGAAATACGGGACAACCTGAAACGTAATAATATCCATATAATAGGGGTACCAGAAGGAGAAGAGTTTGAGGAAGGGATAGAGAACCTGTTGGAAAAAGTCATGATGGAAAGCTTCCCTAATTGGAGGAGAGAAAAAGTCACACCAGTCCAGGAAGCACAGAGGGTCCCATTCAAGACGAACCCAAGGGGCCCACTCCAAGACACATCATCATTAAAATGGCAAATATCAAAGACAAACAGAGAATCCTAAAGGCAGCAAGGGAGAAACAGGTACGAACGTATAAGGGAGCCCCAATACGGCTAGCAGCTGACTTCTCAACAGAAACACTGCAAGCCAGAAGGAAAAGGCAAGAAATATTCCAAGTCATGAACAGCAAAGGCCTGCAACCAAGACTGCTCTACCCAGCAAGGCTTTCAATTAAAATGAAAGGTGATATAAGGAGTTTCCCGGAGAAAAGAAGGCTAAAAGAAAACCCCTCCCCCAAACCAGCACTGCAAAATATGCTAAAGGGACTGCTTTGAGAAGAGGAAGAAAAAGTTTCTATGAATACCTAGTTTGTTTCACAGTTGCCAATACCTGATATTACCAATATTTTTAATACTCATTAATCTGATTGTGACAATGATGTTATTTTATTTGTTCCTTTAATATTTGTTGAAACTAAACCTGTTTTAGTATATTTCTTGCCTATTTCTATTATTTTTAAAAAGCTTTAAATGGCTCTTTGGTATTCTTTATCCATTTATTGTCTAAATATTTGTAGAATTTTTTCCCTAAAAAACAAAACTCTTAACCCTTTTTTAGATGTGTTGCAAATACGTTTCTATTCTATTCCTTGTCCTTTAACTTTTTTATATGTATATTACTGCATACTCTTAGATGTTTAATATAGTCATATTGTCAATATTTTACTTTATAGCTTCTGGGTTTGAATATTTTACTTCGGGGTAAGAAAAACATTATTTTGTATTTTCTCCTAAAAGTCCTTAGATTTTAAATACTGACTTTTAACTCACCTGAATATTTGTTGTTTAATGTGTGAAATAGGACTCTACATTTATTTTATTTCAAGTAATAGTGGTCCATGGACTTTATTTGTTGAATAAGCCTTATTTTCCCCATTGATTTGAAATATCTATTTCATCATATTTTAGACAGATATATACCTTTGTTTCTAGAATACTCAGTTTATTTCACTGATCTGCTTGATTATTTCTGTGATAGTGTCATGTTATTTTAATTGCTGAGACTTTATAATGGATTTAAATTTTTTAAAAATTTATCCAAATTTATCATGGATTTTGATATTTAAAAAGTAAATTAATAAAATCAATCTGCATTTTAAAAAAAAGAAAGAAGGAACTCCTACCTTTTGTGACAATATGGTTGGAACTGAAGAATATTATGCTAAGTGAAATAAGCCAGTTGGTGAAATACAAATACCATATGATCTCACCTAAAAGTGGAATCTATTCAATAAAATAAACCACAGGCATGGAAACATGGAGCAGACTGAAAGGGACAAGAGGGGGTGGGGAAGGAGGACAAGGGTGGTTAGAAGGGGAAGGGACTAAACAAAGAACATGCATGAATGACCTGACCTATGGACATGCACAACAGAGTGGGAACCGACCATGCGAGCCGGGAGGTGGGGGAGGTGGTGGGGTGGGTGGAGGAGGGCAAAGTGGGAAAAATTCAGACAACTGTAATAGAATAAATATGATTTTAAAAAAAGAAAGAAATGTTCTTTGTAGGGAGATTTTGCCATCTAGAGAACTCATTTCTTTAAAAATTAAATTACGTTATATAATCCTACTCTATAAAAAATGCATTTACTTATAAAATATTGTGTACTTATTCTTACGTGTTTAAACTTCAGTCACCTTCAAAGTACTCTCCATTTGATTCAATATACCTATTGAAACATTTTTCCACTGCTCAAAAAGTTTTTGAACTCACCAATTTTTTAAAAGACTTTATTTATTTACTTTTAGAGAGAGGGAAACGGAGAGAGAAAGAGAGGAATATAAACACCAGTGTGTGGTTGCCTCTCATATGCCCTCAACCTGGGACCCGCCTGCAACCCAGGCATGTGCCCTGACTGGGAATTGAATTGGCAATGCTTTAATTTACAGGCTGGCACTCAATCCACTGAGCCACACCAGCCAGGACTGAATTCATTGATTTTGATGTCTTTTAGTGTTTCTGTTGTTTTCTGTTTCCCCTTTTCCACATTGGCAAAAGATTTCCCATTGAGGACTTTTTTCATCTGAAGAAGCAAAAGAAATGCTGCTCAGGGCAACATCGGGTGAATAAGGAGGATGAACATGGGGTCATGCTGCTTGCAGTTAAAAACTGCTGAATACTCAGTGTGGTTAAGGCAGGCACACTGATAAATACCCATCATGAAATGGCAAACACATTAAAAGAGTTTTCAAAAAAAAAAATCACTGAAGCTGCATGCAGCCTCTCACAATAATGCCAGCTGGTACACTGATACAGATGGGTTCCTAGAACATTAACCTAGTCTGTATGGTTAATAAGCCTTGTAGGACAGGGGGAAGCCTATCCTACAAGGCTCAACCTGCAGAAGCTAATATCCATTTTGGGGGGTCTCCCCTCAAAAATATGTAGTAAGAATCTGCTATAGTCAGCCAATAAATCAGCTTTAAAAACACTGTTCTAGTTTTGGAGTTTCTTTGTTTTTACTTAAATCCTAATTTTTGTCTTTGAATACAATGTTTGATAATTTAGTCAGCAATTTTCTAAACAGTAGATAGTATAAGAAGATGAGGAAAAGCTGTATGTATATACACATATAAGAAGAAAGGAGCTATAAATTCTTTTAAATCCCAGGCTAAGAATATGGAAATAGTGGGTAGTTTTTAGGTAAGAGCTTTGGTGTGTCACTTAGAAAGTATATGGATTTTAGTGTTAAGAAAGGAGGTGCAGGAGGAGACCTGAAGATGGGTCACTCATTATACTTTGAATATGGAATGGGATAAAAGCTAATATCTAAGGACTTTGGGGGGAAAAGATGGTAAATTTGCTTATTTTTCATGACTTTTCCAGCCACCCATGGGGCATTATTACATCATGTTATCTTAATGTTATTTGAACTTTGGTAAAATGCATTTGAAGCCCTAGTCTCAACAAAACATTTCAAAAAAAAAAAGTTACTGATTTTTTTCTCTTACTAGCTTCATTAAAAAAAAAAAATTCTAGGAAGATTGAACATTTTCTTCCTATCTTGCTGCTTTTCCTCTCTCTGCCCATGCCAATTAAATTTTGCAGTCACATCTCTTAGCTTTCTGAATTAGTGAAGCTTTTCAGAGTACCCTCAACATACAAACACAGCTGCAAAGTGCCTTTTAAGATGTCAGAGATTTACAGGCAACTTCCCTCTTCTCATTCCTCATGGAAACTTACTAAGCTAAGAGCATCATTTTAGAGTTTGGCCTGACCTTCACTGTTTTAATTCCCTTCTCATTTTTTAAATCATAGTTTTCCCATTTCTGTATAACTCTCTGTGATAGGAGTTGAACCCCCACAAGAAGTGAAATTCTCCTTGTCCCGAATAAAGTGAAATGAAAGACCTCTGGTTATTTGCCTCTCTTCACACAAATACAAACCTGTCTGCTCTGTAGAGTTAAATGTGGCAGGAGCCTTCAGGCTGTGCAAGCTATACAATTATCAAAGACATTCTAATGAAGTCCTGTTCAGAGGAACTACACAATATCAGCGCTTAATAATTTTATAAAGCTGCGTTGAAGAATATAAGAGCATGTAAAATGTTTTCATTTTTATTCCAGCATGACATTTGTTTAAAATTATTTGTATCCTTTGAACAACATACACATATTTTTAAAGAGTATGTTAGTACTAACACCTTAAGTTATTAAAACACTAGGACAATTATAATTGCAAAAATTTTGAACACTGACCAAACATACATTTATCTGTATAATTTTGTGACTGTCTTAATGAAAAGAGGACATTTATTAGTATGAGACCTAAACATTTCTCTTTAACATTTTTGCCAGTGAGTTTAGGACTTTCTTATTTCTCAGACTATAGATTATGGGATTTAGCAAAGGAATGATAACAGTGTAAAACAGAGAGTCCATCATGTCTTGGTCATCGGCTTGAGCAGACCCAGGGCGCACATACATGAAGAGAAGAGAACCAAAAAATAAGGACACAGATAGGAGGTGGGCTCCACAGGTGGAGAAGGCTTTCCTCATGCCTTGTACAGACTTCTTTTTTAAGATTGTAAAGAGAACAAGTGTATAAGAGACAAGAACAGTCAGTATGGTGAACACCTGTATTGACCCAGAGAAAATAAAAACCATCAGAACATTAAGGGAAGGGTCGATACAAGAAATCTTAAACAATGGCATGATGTCACAGTAAAAGTGATGTATTACATTAGAATTACAGAAGTTTAATCTAAAGAAAACACCCATATGAATAGAAGCATGTAGCACACCACCTACAAATGAGGAGAATAACAGCCAGGTGCATAGTCTATTGGTCATAATGACTGGGTAAAGTAATGGTTTGCATATGGCTACGTAGCGATCATATGCCATTGTTGCCAGCAGAAAACATTCTGTGCTTGCACTGAATGCAAAGGAGAAAAATTGTATCATGCATTCATAGAGAGATACCTTTTTACTCTTGATTAGGAAGTTGACCAGCATCTTGGGGGTGACTGTAGATGATATCCAAGCATCCAAGAGGGCTAAATTCCCAAGGAGTATGTACATGGGAGTATGAAGATGAGAGTCGTTGCAGACGAGAGCAATTAAACCAAGGTTTCCCACCATGGTGATGAGATATATCACAAAGAACACCAGGAACAAGGGGATTTGCAACTCTGGTTTATATATAAGTCCTGTGAGAATAAACTCTGTCAGCAATGTTGCATTTTCCCTTTCCATGTACTCACTCTATGTTGCCTGAAATGAAATGGAATATATCACTAAGGATTTATAACAAAAATATGTGGGGGAAGAGAGTTGAAATAAAGCCATGCATATCAGAAGCCACCATTAATTTTCTTACCTCTATAATAGAATTTATTTTTGAGGTAATTTAACAAATGGAAGAAAAATCAATAATTTCACTTCAAAATGTGCAGAAATGAGCATATTTTAGAAAAAAAGAAATGCATTCTAAGTATGTGTTATAATTATGGGGATACCATTGATTGTAATAGGGAAATTTTCAGTATTAAACATGAATGCAGGGTCAAAGGAAGAAAAGTTTGATGAACAGCCAGAGTAATAAAGTAATTGAATTCCATGTGAAAAATCTTGAACTTTATTCCTTGGCAATAAGCAGGCACTGAAAATTAAGAGATGTGGAGTTGGTTCTGTAAGGTATTGTACAAGGATGAATACGTGGTAGTGTAGAAAATAGGCTGCTGGGAGGGGAAATTGGAGTCAGGACCACTAGCCAGTGATTCTTAAACCAGATTACGCATCAGAAGTGTTTGAAGAATTTTTTTTTTTTTGCAAAATATAGATTATGAAGTACCACTGTAGAAATTAATTGAGTGGGTCAAGAATAGGGTCTATATCTACATTTTAAAAATCCTCTCCAAGTGATTCAAATGCATGTCAAGTATTGGGAATGATGAAGAGAAATAAGAGATAGCCGCAAAAGAATTCAGGATGTAGAGTCACTAGGACTCAGTGACATAATAGATATGAAAGGGTTGAAGGAGAGGGGAGTCGCATGGTGACTGGGTAAGATGGTCACTGAAACTGAGATCAAGAACTCAGATGCAGTGGCTAGTTCGTTGAGAGGGTATCCTCTGAAATCCATGCCAGATTTACTTAGTGCTATGAGTGTCCCAGAGATTAATAGAAATAGTCTTAGGAGTTATTAGCATAGCTGAGGCATATTTAGTGATGACCTATCCATTGGATAGTGTGCATCCAATGGATAGAATTTTGGCCAGCATCTGATCTTGTTTTATACCACATAGTCTTGGTGACCGGTGGAGGTTACCACCTACTTGGGAAGCCTAAGTGGCTAGATATTGACTTTCCCATCCCCCTTGCACCAACAGTGAGGGAACTTGACCTAGATTTGGCAAATAAGATACACTTAACCTACATTTAGAATATGAAGAGAGGGAGAAAATGTACAGGGACAAAAGAGAATATTGGTAGCAAAGGCAGAAATATGAAGACGGCAACAAATGCATCCTACATCCATAATAATGGTATTGTCAGTGAGCCCTGGCATTCCTAGTTCAGCAGAAGTGACAGCCAGTGTCACTGACCTTGTGTTGGGACATGATTTTGCCTGATGAAGGGCTCCGTTGCTTTCTTTGGTGGTTTTTTGTTTTTTTGTTTTTTTGCTTCTTTGCCCATTTTTTTTTTTCAGCTGATTCCTCCAGCCTCTGCTACACTTCTACATTTAAGCCAATTTCCACTCAATTCACTCATTTCCTGTTGCAATCAAGAGGCCTGGCTAACACAAAGGAATACTAGGGAGAGATCAGAAAAGGATACTACTGAGCAGAGTGATCATATAAGCAAACAAATGACTGGAAAGCTGAGTGAACTTAAAAAAAAAAGAAGGTATCCAAGAAGAAAGAAATAATGCACATGTCAAATACCAAAATAAATGCTCTATCTAGTAGGATGAGGAGTTATCAGATTTCACTGAGTGTGGAAATCAAGAGATTTTTACTGGCTTTAATGAGAGCAATTTTCATTATGTGATGGAGTTGAGGCCAAAAACTAACAAGAAGGGAAAGGGAAACAGGTCGGTGATACAGAGTAATAGAGAGTATCCCCAGAAATGTGGAGAACAGTTGCTTCTTTCTAATTCTCATAGATGTAGGTTTTTCTCTTTTATAATATTTTAATAAAAATTTTCAAAAGAGAAGAGAATATAGGACAGCATTGAGAGAAGAAAGGAAACAGATGAACTGGGAAGAAAATATGTGTTTATGCAAAAAACAACGGAGAGGTGAGTAACAAATGGAAAATAATGGAGGCATAGATAAAGTCTAGGAAAGACAATCCAGAGAAGACTGAGAGAGGCTGCAGAGGAGACAAGGAGAAAGGCTCCGAGGCTTGGGGATGAATGTCTTAACTCTGGTAGTCCTTAAAGGTTGTCAGTCCTAAAAATATTTCTTTTTAATTTTTTTAAATTTAAAGTTTATTTTTCTATGGAATATGTGTATGAAAAAGACACTTCAATTTTAAATTCCATTTTATAAATTTTACATTGTTAATGAATATATTAGAGCTGCCCCAAAGTTCTTTCCATGTTTAAAAGTTGCTTTCTTTTGTTATTACTGTGACAGAAGTGATTTTCTCTAGAAATCCTGCTTGTTTTACTTGAGAGCACTTTCCTCTTGACCAGTTGTGGGATTTGCATGTGTGTTGTGCAAAATATAACTAAGCCAAAACTGGATTCTGAATACAGGTAATATAAATAATGATTGTCAATAATTCATTTGTTAAGTAGATTTTATATGGAATGGCTTTTTTCCCCAATCACTAAATAATTGGAAACTCTCAAATTCAATTTGCATGGATACTTATTTATTCATAAATGCTGGAAAGCATAGTGAGGAGCAATTTCTACATATTTCCATATATATATTTACCTTATAAAATCATTATAATTAGGTTAACAAAATAATAAAACACTTTAAAGACAATAATTTAGCCTTAACAGTTATGTTGCATATCTACATTTTAGTCATGAAAATAAAATACATATTTAATTTATTGTTTTTTCCCCTTTCCATCTGGTTACTGACATCTTATAAACTCAATGTCAAATTATTATAAACAGTATTTTAAATTTTATATAAATAACAATGAATATTATACAAATCATTTCTCTCTTACCCTTATCTTTTGAGAAATTGTGGCGATTCTTCTGATACATTAGGATTTCTCAAGTAGAAAAATGTATAGTAGCACAGGAATGACAACAGCATAGGTAGCAATTCTTTGTATGCTGATTCATTTTGGAGGCTTTATATCCCAAGCCAAGGAAAATATTGTTTATATTAATTTCCTCTGAACAGAAGATTCAACCAATTATATAACTCTGCGCTTTTGCCAGTAGAGAAGGGAGTACAAAATTGAATTTCCCATGATAATGCCCAAGGATTCCCTTTAGGAAAAAGCTATTGGGCATTGTGAGCTTGGACATGTATGAGAAGCCCATGTTGTTCCATGGGTCATTACAGATGCAAAATTCACAACCATCATGTTATTGTAGATAATTCTAGTTTTACTTTTTTTACATTTTTATTTTTACTTTTTTAAATTTATAAATCATGTTTTTTCTATTACAACTGTCTCAATTGTTACCACTTTACCCCCCTCCACCCACCCCACCCCACCCCCACCCCTGACTCCCACAGTCTATTCCCACTCTGTTGTCCATGTCCATGGGTCATTCATACATGTTCTTTGTCTAGTCTCTTCCCCTTCTTTCCACCATTGTCCTCTTTCCCCATCCCCTCTGGTCACTTTCAGTCTGCTCCATGTTTCCATGCCTGCGGTTTATTCTGTTTGTTAGTTTATTTTGTTGAATAGAGTCCACTTATAGGTGAGATCATATGGTATTTGTCTTTCATTAACTGGCTTATTTCACTTAGCTTAATATTCTCCAGTTCCATCCATGTTGTTGCAAAAGGTAGGAGTTCCATCTCTCTCTCTCCCTCTCTTTCTTTCTTAAATGCAGATTGACTTTATTTTTTTAAATGTCAAAGTTAATTATAAAATATTAAAAAAATTTAAAACCATTATAAAGTCTCACCAATTAAAATAACATGACACCATCACAGAAATAATCAAGTAGATCAATGAAATAAAATAAGCATTCTAGAGACAAACATATATATGTCTAATAATGTAATATATGATTTAGTTGCTATTTCAAATCAATGGGTGAAATAAGGCTTATTCAACAAATAAGGTGCATTTATTTATTAATAAGGACCACTATTACTTGAAATAAAACAAATACAGAGCCCTATTTCACACATTAAACAAGAAATATTCAGGTGAGTTAAAAATAAAAATGTAGAATCTAAGGAGTTTTAGAAGAAAATAGAACAATAATTTCCATGACCTGAAGTAAAATATTACAACCCAGAAGCTATAAAGTAAATATTGACAACATGACCATATTAAGCATTTAACTATATAGTAATATACATATAAAAAAAGTTAAAGGACAAGGAATAGAATAGAAACGTATTTGCAACACATCTAAAACATGGTTAGTAGGGTTTACTTTTGTTTTTGGTTTTGGGTTTTTTTTTTTTTTTAGGGAAAAAATTCAACAAACCTTTAATCAATAAATGGATAAAGAATACCAAAAAGGGAGAAAGATGGCGGAGGAGTGAAAGGGAGTCACGCTGACCTCCTCCCAAAACCAAACTGGAATTGCAACTAAATAATGGAGTAATCACATGGAAAGCAGTGGAGCGATAGTGGGAGAGGAGCCTTGGTGCCGCGGACAGTGGATTCGACTCTCACACATCCCAACGGGTGAGAATTGCGGTGGAGGCTCGAGAGGGTGGGCTGGGTGCGCACAGGCACTGGCACCAGAGGGACATTGAAACGGCCAGTTAGCGTCCCCCGAGAAGAACGGGGTCTGAATCATAAACAGGGACCCCTAAACTACAGCCGCTAAAGCCAAGAAAATACAGACAAAACGCAACCCCAAAAAGCTTAGGGGCGCTCTCTGCCAGAGACAGGTGGCTGGGGATGCAAAAAGACATTTAAAGGGCAAACGCAAAAGTTGCAGCGGCAGCCACCCTCTGATCGCTGGGTACAGGCGGCAGCAGGGTGGGCTGGTGCCTGGGAAAAGACTGGTGAGGAAAACTTTGGGACGAGAACTGACACTGCGGCCGGTGGAGCCCGGGTGATAACGCACTTCCCACTCTGCAGCT